AATTAATTTTTGTTTTATTTTCTGTTTAATATCTGCTCCTATGTGACTGTACACTCATGGAGCCAGGTACCATAGCTTTGAAGCACTCTTCCCAAGTACTAGAGCACAAGCTAACAAATATCTGGTTAAACAGGTAGAGATAGCTGATTTGTGGAGGTGGAAAAACCGTGGGTGCAACTTTGTCTTTCCTCTACTTGGCATTTTATTAATATTACTCAAATTCTGTCTTTATCATAAAAAATTAATATTAAAAATTTACATTTGGACATATAGTGTCTTTTTGAAAGTGGTAACAAAAACACATTAACAAGTAATTTCCCTCTAAATCATCACATACTAAAACTTTCCCAGTACCCCCTCTTGGACTGAAAGAAAAATAAGAAAAGAAAGGTAGTCCCATCTTCCAGCATCTGAGATGCAGAAGAAATGCCTCCATCATAGCAATGGTTCCCAGTTGTGGTCCTAGATGACTAGTGAACTCCAAGGGTACCTCACAGGCTCCACTGACTTATCAAAATTCAGAATATACTTGCATATATGTGACCGCCTGTTCAACACAAAAACAAGCAAAAAAGGAAGACCTACTCACTTTGATTTACATGCCAAAAAGAAACAAGTCACACAAAGCAAACTTGAGAATATAAAGTATCACTCCCAATTCCTTACAGATTTGGAGATAATGCTTCATTATCAGGTACTAACTTCCCTTTACTCTAGAATGAAGACTAGGAGGCTACCCTCCAGAAAGATTTGGGGCAAAGAACACTGAAAAATTTTCCCTTAACAGTATGTCCAATACTTTAATCTTACCTTTTCTTCTGTTTTCTTATCCCACCTAAGAAGCCCTAGCAATATCCCTATGCCATTCCCCTCAAGTCCCCTTCTTCCAATAGTTCGCAGCATGAAGGCAGGTTTGGTGAGAAGACACAACATGAGAATTATGAAAAAGCTTTTTCAGAACCACCTTACTAAAGTAAGGAAAGAAAACCAAACAGTACAAGCAGTCTTCGGACTTAGCACAGTACCTACACGAGAATTTCAGTTACCACAAGTAACACAAGTCCTCCAAAACCACGGTTCAAATTAGTTACCATAGTACCATAGTGACATTTTATAAAAATGGTAATTGAAAGAAGGAATTGGCCAACAAAGATGAAAGTGCAGCAAATAAATGAAAAGTGGTAACAATGAAAGTGGAAGTCAAATATAAGTGGAATTACAGAAGAAATAGCTGGCTGTGGGAATACTGTCACTTCTGTCGTTTGAGGGACTAGATATACAGCTAGAGGAAATTAGTGAAGGCAAACTTATCAACAATGAGGAAGACATCCCAAAAGAAGTTATGCCAGCAAAAATCTTCACATTAAAGGAACTATGGGAGATATCTCACAACACTGAAGCACACAGGATAAAACGTTAGAAGTTGACCTAAACTTAGAAAGTAGTATGATACTTTGCCAAGGCATAAAAAAGATGTTTGTTCTGTATTGTAAGCTATATAACTAGAAAACAAGTACTATTCAAATTATTTTTGATACATTTTTACAAAGAAATGTTTTTAATATTTCCAATGTTTTAAATTACAATGTATTAACTGTTACTTTTACTATTTTTTCCATTTCCCTACGCATTTACAATCAACGATAAGTTTTTAATTTTTAACACTGATAATTTTTAAAGATCATTAAATTATCATAATTCTTCTCATCATTAAGTCCACTCTGCCTGATTTCCATTTATATTCATTTTTACAGTCCCACACTACCATGCAAAGGGCTGCCTGTACTTTATACTGTGTAGCCCCACCCTTGCCAAAGTCCTTTCACCTGTCACTTAGGACTGGTTAAAAGTAACTGCAGCAGGGATGTTTTACTTTCATTCAAAAACAAGCCAGGTGAATAGATGAACTACAAGATCAATAAAAGAGTTAAGTACTGAAAGGGAGAGATAAAAGAGTCACTCATGAAGAAAAAGATGTGATAAAGGGTGTGCTATTTTTAAAAATCTAAAGTACTTTTTTGTATTTAAAAAAAAACTATAAGAAAAAAGTACAGGCGTGCCCATTTTATTATGCCTTGCTTAATCGTGTTTCACAGGAGTTGAGTTTTTTACAAATGGAGGCAAGATCCTCCACCTGCAAAAAGATTATGACTCACTTTATTACAGTGGTCTGGAACCGAAACCACAATATCTCTGAGGTATGCCTGTACAGGCTTCATTGCAGTAGTCTGGAACTACTATCAGTAATGCTATGATCAAAATTACTTTGTATTACCTTGGAGATTTTAAATGCAGCTTTTTTTAAATGAATGGAATAGTATTTTTACATAGTTTGAATTAGGCATAAACAAGTATACATATGTACTGTGTTGCATTCTTTTTTTTTTTTTACTCTTATAAGCATTTTCCATGTTATTATAGCATATGCTCTTCACAAGCACTACTGTCAAGGGCCGCTGAATAAGCCATGAAATGCCATCTATCATCGCTTACCTAACCACTCCTCTTTTGTTTCATGTTTAAGTGGCTTCCTATTATCTTCACTGCGTTAAATGTTATGAACATCTTTAGGTTGCTAATACTTAATTCCAAACTACTTTCCTAAAAGCATGCACCAGTCAATGCACTTTTTGAGGCTTTTTTTCCTAAAGAGCCCTCTCTATACTCCAAATGAAAACTGACATCCCAGAGGCATCCCTTATTCAACTCTACAGCCCTTCGATGGCCCTCATGAAGCTTTAGAAAGGGAACATTTAAATGTCTTCTACATGCCAGGCTTTGTACTGCATGTTTGATGTTTTATCTCCTTTAACCCTTAAAATCCAAGTTTCAAGACCTCAGCAATCATCTAGGCCTACCTTTCATTCATTGATTCAACAAATAGTGTTGAGTGCCTACAAAGTGTCAGGCTCTAACACAGTAGTAAATAAAACAGTGCTTCCTCAGGAATGCTCAGCCTTTCTCAAAAATGCTCCCAGCCTTAAAAAATGGCCACTCCATTTCTATACTACTTTGATAAGAAAATCTTCTAATGGCTTCCATTATGCTTCAAATAAATCCAAATTCCTTTCCATGGCCCATAAAGACTCTCCTCTGGTGGCCTTGCCTACCTCTCCGGTATCATCTCCTGCCATATTACTTTCACCCACTAGGCCTCAGCTACTGTAACATTCTAAGCTCTTTCCACCTAAGGATTTTCTAACATGCTGCTCACTCTGAACTTTCCCTTATTCCCATCAAAATGCTCCTTCCTATCTTTCATGTCTTGCTCCTTCCTATCTTTCAGGTCTTCGCTTAAATATTACCTCCTCAGAGCCTTCCTTGGTCACTCTATCTAAAGTCGGTTCTCCAATATTATTCTATCTCTATCCCACCTCAGTTCATTTCTTTCAGAGTACTTATCTTTTGGTTTTGGTTTGTTTGCCACTGTTATCTCCAAGGGTAATCACAGTGCCCAGTGGGCAGAATTCATAGCAGAAAAAATGCATGCTGAATGAATAAAATAATTTGTCCTTAGCTAGAATGAAATCTAACTTCCTTGAAACTTGTACCCATTGATGCTAATTTTACCCTCTGTAACTACATGAAAAAAAAGTATACATTTCTGCATGTGTACCACTTTAATAAATTTTAAAATCATTGTTCTTTTGTTAACTTGGACACTCACTATTACTACTGCTACTGACTTCGGAAATAGTTATCAAGGAGCAGTTAAGGGTATGGAATTCCATATTACACTGCCTGGGTTGGAATCTAATCTCCAACACTTACACATATGAAATGGATATCACTATGTAATTTCGGACAAGTTATCTAAGCTCTCTGTACCTCAGCTCCCTCATCTGGCAAACTAGAATAAGACGTCAATTGTTTGCCAGAATTAAATGAGATGATGTATGTTAAGAGCTTATCCCAGTTCCTGGCACAACAATGCTAATTGTCAAAACTACTGCTGCTATCTCACCAGCTAGACAGGAAAATTCCCTGAAAGTGGTAATATATTTCTTTGCATGCATCTCTAAAGCCTAGCTTATGCAAGTCTCATGCCACAAATCTGGCTAAGGTGTCCCTTCCACATCTTTGCATTACACTGAAACTAGCCCTCATGTCATTTATCCCAACAGTCGCTTTAGTGTTCTATCTCTGCTACCTGACCCATGAGAGGTCTATTTTGTTCACATGTTATCTCCAACACTTGCAACAATAAACATTTGATAATTAAATGAATGCCTATGGACCTCCATATTTGATGAGAAGTTTTTTAAAAGTTACTATCTGCTTCTGTCCATTCCCCCACAAGCCAATCCTTGTCCTATTCACTACTTCATCTAGTTTCCCTTACTGAACCTGCCATAGAGAGATTTCAAAATATTAAAGGATTTTTTTTATGTTAAAAAAAGGTTGATTCTCATAGTTTTCTAAGGCATTAAACATTGTCATATTGGTTCCATAGTGCGGCTGTTTGTGTTCATCAATATATCTAAATCCTAGAAGAATGCTTGGAAGCAGAATAAGTGTATTAATTATATATTGAATGAATGAATGGATGGATGGATGTCATTTTATGAGACTGAAAAAAGATACAGCAAAATGACAACGATAGCTTTGGACAGAAGGGCTCTGAGAGATTTAAGTAAGCGTTTTCTGTTTTGCTACATATATTTTCTTAAATCTCAAGTTCTCCCGAGTGTAGTTAAATGAATTGAAGCTTTTCGTTCTTTAAGTAGCGAAACTGTCTTCGCGCGGAAGGCAATGAGTAAAGTGCCACTCAATCTAGACCCCCGTCTCTTTCTGGCGTCCGGGTAGGAAAAATATGGCCTTGACACAAGGTGCGGCGGCGGTCCAAGAGCCCCGCTCTCCCTCCCAAACCTGGTGACGGGTGACTCGAGGAGAATCCAGCGCGCAAAACCGGAAGAAACTGCTAGTGCAGAGAAGCCCCTACAGGCACCAGTGCCAGACTCTGGCACTCCGAACGCTCCACTCTACCGCCCCGCACTCACCACCAGCGAGGTTGTGAATCCAGGCCGATCCATGGCCCCGCAGACACGGTCAAAGCTACAAATCGGGGCTGAGCAGATGAGCAGAGGAGGGTTACGGACCCATGCTTATGGGCGCCGCCATCTTGGAGGCGGGGCCTAATGTGTCCGCACGTCCGAGGTCACATGAGGGCGAACTACAACAACTTCACGTGCAACCAAGAAAGCTGGCTAGGAGAAGCTCCGTGAAGGGGGGGCGGGGCCTGGGGAGGTGTAATCAAGCCAAATCTCGCGACTCTTCTCTGCCTTCATTTCCTGCAGCAGCCTGTGATTCGGCTAGATGGAGGAACTCTCGCGAGCAATAAGCCTCGGCTGGGTTTCAGGGTTGGAGAGCAAAACAGTGAGGGCTGGGTGGAGCTAATGATTTAGACGAAGAGGCGTGGCTATAGTAGAATGAGTGGCGGTGGAGGGCCCGCTAGTTTTGGGGGACAAAGTTTGTGGTTTCTAAACAGTTATTTCTTTTTGGTTTTCTCTTGGTTTTATCTGTACAAATTTTGTCTGAATTACTATAAAACACGCAATATCAGAATATTATTAAAGATATAGAAAAACACTTCAAAATTTTCCATACTCCAGCTAAAAATTAACATCCTCCACTTCTACTTACTGGCAGTTATTGCACTTAAAATTATTCACTTGTTCAATTAGTTACTTGCTCACCTTGTTTTCTGTGATACCAGTGTGCACACCTCGAAGACCACTTTATTAAGTACCTAGTACAAGTTTCTTAGAGTAGGCCTGCCTTTACATTTATTAAATAAATACCTTCTAACTTTCCATTTATTAAAGACCAACTATATCTCAGACTTGGTGCTAGATGATTGATAGACCATTTCCAACTTAATACAACCATTTTGTAAGGTAAGCACCACTTTCATCCTCATTTTACAGAGGATGCTGATGCTCCAAGAGGTTCAGTAGCTAATCCAAAGCTACAGAGAACATAGAGCTAGGCTTGCAATTTTACTTAGTGTCGTTATCATCTTTCCTCAAAACCCTTGCAACAGCCTGAGCAAGCTCCTCGACTGCCCTTCTTCAATCCATCTTTCATACCATTGCTAGAATCTTTATTCTCTTCTAGATGAAATGATCTAGAAATGACTGACAGAATACCTTTAGAGTTTCAAATTCGGAACTGTCACCTTTTCTAAGAGTGAGTTTCCTCCCTTATAAAGTGGGGATTATGATAGTAACTTCTTCTTTAGTACTATAACAGATTAAGTGAAATAATACATGCACTTTAACTTAGTTCTTGGCTCATAGAAGGTGCTCTGTAAAGATGATGGTAATGTCACTTCCCTGTTTTAAATGAATCCCTTTTGCTGCTTATGTGAGACAGTCCAGCTCCTTAGCATAGAACTCACCTCACTTGGTGTCTCTTGTCATCCTTCCCACTGGCTGGACTACTCACAGACTATACAGTTTCAAACCTCCTCATTTTACCCATATTGTTCTCTCTACCAAGAACAACTTCCCCTATACTGCCTGCAGAACACTGATCCTCTCCTATTTGCCACACGGCACCCTCCAAAGGCCATCTCAAAGCATGTTAGTTCACTCCCTCTAAGCCAGCAGGAGAATCTCCTGCTATTTGTCTCTTCTAAGGGCTCATATAGCTAGGTCAGGCTCACCCAGGATAGTATCCCTTTTGATTAACTCAAAGTCAAATGATTTGGGAATTTAATTACATCTACAAAATCCCTTTGCCACATAATGCAATATAATCATGGCAGTAATATCATACTAACAGGTTCTACTCACACACAAGGGAAGCAATTATGCAAAACATATACATTAGGGAGCACGAATCTTGAGAACCATCTTAGAATTTTGCCCACCACAGTGTCCCAAAGGCCCTTGCTGGTAGCCTCCTCACAAGCCATCAAGGTTCTATCAATAGGCTCTCACTAAAACCTCACTCAAAGTCCTTCCATCTTTCATCTACTCCCTGATGCCAAAGCCACTCCCACAGTTTAGATGTTTGTTACAGTAGCACCCCATTTCCAAGTACCAAAATCTGTATTGGTTGTCTATTGCTGAGTAACAAACTACCCCGGAATTTAGAACAGCAATAAACTTTTATTACCCCACACAGTTTCTGTGAGTCAGGAATCTGAGAATGACTGAATGGTTTAGTCTCATAGTCTCTCTCCTGAGGTTGCAGTCAACGCATCAGCTAGGGCTATATCGAAAGACCTTTTTGGGACTGGAAGATCCACTTACAAAATGGCTCACTCCAGTGACTGGGAAATTAGTGCTAGCTATTGGCAGTTCCTTCACCCATAGACCTCTCCATAGGGTTGCTTGAGCGTCCTCATGATATGACAGCTGGTCTTCCCCAGAGTGAGTGATCTAAGAGAGAACACAATAGAAACTACAATGTCTTTTATGACTTGGCCTCAGAAGTCACTCAGTTATCATTCCTAAAAGAGTCTATTGGTTACACAAGTCATTCTATTTATTATGGGATTGGATTATACAAAGGTATAAATACTAGGAGATGTGGATCACTGGGTGCTATCTTGGAAACTGGCTACCACATCAGAGAAATGCAAGTAAAAACCACAATGAGTTACAACTACATACTCACTAAAATGACTATGATTTAAAAGACCAAAAAGACCAAGTGTTGTTGGCCAGGATGAAGAATAACTGGAACTTTCATGCATTGCTGTTTTTTTTGTTTTGTTTTGTTTTTTAATTTCTCATTTTTTTACTTAGTAAACATCACGACTTTCACTATCATAGCAAAAGAATTTTTATGCAACCAAAAGTGTTCATCGGTGTGTGATTGAGAAAATTTGATTATGTTACTCATAGGTAGGTATTTAAAACCATGAAGTAGAGAGTCTTTAATGATATAGAAAAATGGTAAACAAAACAGTTTCACAAGAGTATATGCATGTGCTGGTTTTTCCCTTTCTACCTCAGCAGATCCATCTCTACTTTCTCTGCGTAGTTCTCTGCCCTAGGAACTGTCCTTTGATTTACAGTTGGGTTTGGCCAATGAAAGTCATGGACAGATCTGAGGATGGCAAGAGAAAGAGGTCAAGGTATTTCCTTTCTGCCCCTCCTTGCCTCGACCCAATTCTGGCTGGTGTTTTGTTCCTCTACAATACTTCTCCTATAAGACAGGCTCCCCTCTGTGGCTTCCTCTCTCTCTGACCTCTGATAACATCTTTTCCTTTGAGTCTAGGGATAATAATGGCTTCCTACTGTTGTGAGCCCTGGCTATTTCTTCATACTTCATTCATTTTCTTAACATTGTCCACAGTTCAAGGCCCAGTCGAGTGTACTCTATTTGCTGCTAGAACTCTGACAAAAGCCACTATAACCCAACTTTACTAAATATGTGTGTGTGTGTGTGTGTGTGTGTGTATTATCTCTTGCTGCATAACAAACTATCCCAACATTAGCAGTTTAAAACAACAAACATTTATCATATCAGAGTTTCTGTGGGTCCAAAATATGGATGTGGCCTACCAAGGCATGACTGGCTCAGAGTCTCTTATGGGACTGCAGTCATGCTGTTAGCCAGGACTGCAATTCTATCTGATGGCTCAAATGGGGAAAGATCTACTTCCAAGATCACTCACATAATTGTTGGCAGATTTAGGTTCCTCATAGGATGTTGACTGAGGGCTTCGATTCTTCATTGTGTGTTGACTGAAGGCCTCCCTCAGTTCCTTGCCAGATGGGCCTCTCTATACGGGAGCTTGCAACATGGCCCCTGGCTTTCACCAGAGTGAGCCAACAAGAAAGGGTGAGAGAGAACACTGAAGATGAGAGCCCCAGATTTTTGTCCTCTGATCTCTGAGGTGACATCCCATCACTTTTGCCAGCCCACGCTCAAGGGAAAGGGATTACACAAGGGCATGAACACAAGGCAGAAAAAAAGGGCAATCTTAGAGGCAATACATAATTTACAAATGCACAGAAAAAAACCTGTGTGATAACTGGTTATGTTTGGGCACATTAAAAATGATCTTTCTGTTTTCTTTTTACATTATCGGCCACTTATAATGAATAATTGCTACTGCTATGACTATTATCATCATATAAATCTTTTGTTACTGACCCATCTCTAGCTGAGCGAGTTGATATAAACCTACCTAGACTTGACAAAGAGCGAACCAATTATCCGCCTTAATTGGGTTTTGTTCAATATTTGACCCAAGATAAAGCTCTGGCTTGGCTTCCAATACACATATAAAAAGAATCAGGATGGAATTTGCTCCGCTAATTTTTACATTTTCTGACAAAGATCTCTGCTCTACTGGATGCAGAAATTATCCTAAAACCTTGCCTTCTGCATTTACCGCCCATCAGTTTAGCAAGCCTATCACTTCGAAATGCAACACAGAGATGCCCTTGCTGTAATTGTTCTCTGTTTAAGTGTCAACAGATAATTAAAGGTCACCCTTGTGACACTTCCCTGACACAGAGGATGACATAAAATGATTTTTCTCAGCCACTGGCTATTGTTATATTCAAGGGCAAATTGAGCTATTTTTTCTTTGCAGTATAGGAAATGAGAAAACGTAAATGGGGTTCATGATCTTCCCATTATAGGAAATTTAAACAAAAATGTCCACCATTAAACCATAGTCTTCTAGATGAGCACAAATAAGAGCTTTTATTCTTCTTCAAATTAATTTCACTAGTAAGTGCTGAGTACTTATTACATATCCATAATGGTCTTATTTCTTTATAAACATCTTACCCTTTCAACTTTACTTTTTATCATGATTCCATGATTCTTACAATCTGCCAGGTTAAGAATCCTGCTCTGATTCAATTTCTTATTTATCTTTGATGTCCAAACCATTACCTGACCCTTTGGAGGACGCCCCTCCTGTCCTCTCCTTTCTCTCTGCAAAAGCCTTCGTTTAGGCCTTCAAAAATCATAACTTAATGGTTATAATTAAGTTATGATGAGGTCATTAAAAACATTCTCATGACGTTATATTCTCATTTCCAGTTCACCTAGACAGATCTGCATGAGTAAAGAAATTGCATACATTTTATGTCAGGCCTTATGTACATGACTGCCCATTTCCCTATTTACTTTCTCACCTAATCTAAACTGTCACCCTGTGACTTAGGTATTTTAATAAAACCTAGACTCCTGGTTTCTGAAAAGAAAACAATAAAACCCAAAAAGTAGTCATTGTCACTTTGAAAGACAGTTTGACAGTTTCTTAT